GGAATTCTACAAGTCTGTCATTACAGTCTTGAGCGATCAATTCGAGACCACTTGGCATTTCAACCATCCCGGTTCACCTCATTTCGGAGGTCTATGGGAATCGGGTGTTAAATCCGTCAAGCACCATCTCAAGCGTATGATCGGCGACGCTATGTTAACTTATGAAGAATTCTCGACGCTCTTGACTCAGATTGAAGCAGTACTCAATTCGAGGCCCCTCACGCCGCTGCCTAGTACCCCAGAGCCCGAAAGCGTATTGTCGCCTGCTCATCTAATAATTGACGAGCCATCATTCATAGGAGCGGAGCCACTGCTGACGAGAGAAAACGTCAGCACCCTGGAACGTTGGAAGCGAGTGACGCAATTTACGCAGCTTTTTGGGAACGCTGGTCCAAAAAATACCTACACACTCTACAGAAAAGGTGCAAGTGGCAGCTACCTAAGCGCAATCTCGCTGTAGGCAACATAGTGCTCGTCAAGGATGAACTTGTAGCGAGACAACCGAACGCCGCCGCGCCAACATCGATCGCTTAGCAACGGCAGATTATAAATATATTCTGATTGTATTCGCGATCAGAGAGTCTCGAGCTTCCATACAGTGAACACATAATAAAGTTAATTGTTAAATAGAAATAAAGTATTAATTCTATATTGGTGACCCGCGACTTTAAATTCTCTTCGCACCCGCCTATCGTCATGGTTTTGGAGCGCGAAGGTAACAATCAACGCCGAATTGCCGAGCAACAGCGGCTCCTCGAACAGCAGCAGCAGCTCGCCGAACAACAACAGCTCGCTGAACAGCAGCGACTCGCCGAACAGCATCGGCTCGACAACCAACGCCTCGAACAACAGCTCGCTGATCTTCAAGCGCAACTTGCGCTTCGTCAAAACGAGCTTGCCAATGCTCCTGTGCCTCCAGCCGCCGCAGCTGTCCAACCTGCAATTCATCGGGTAGCTGTCAAATTGCCAGCCTTCTGGTCAGACCGACCAAGCCTCTGGTTCGCCCAGGCAGACTCTCAATTTGTCCTCTCGGACATTACAAGCGAGGTGACAAAATTTCATTATGTCGTTTCCCAACTGGACGCGCGCATCGCCTTAGAAGTAGAGGACATCATCACAAGTCCACCGGCAGTAACGCCGTATACTTTTCTGCGCACTAAATTAATTGAGCGTTTGTCTGCATCAGAAGAGCAACGTGTTCGACAGCTCATCAGCGAGGAGGAGCACACCTTGTGCTCGTTGGCCGTTGGCCAAGATAATTGAGGTGCATCCTGGGCGCGACGGCCTGGTAAGAGTGGGAACGGTCGCCACAGCCAGAGGGTCTTACAAGAGACCGGTCGTGAAATTGATCGGCCTCCTCGAGCAATAAATAGTTCGGACTTCGGTCGCCAGATGTCCCCTGCCAATCCACAAGAGAATCGGTGAGTTTCATGCATATGAGGCGGCTAGTATTATACGCGTTTCAACGAAGGGACAAAGCTTTTCGAGCACGATGCCCACCGCTGCACCGAACGTACAAGTCAACCATGCGTTTGCGCGAGCGACACGCAGTGAGAGGCGAGCTGAGCGCTACTGCCACTGGCTGGAGAGTCGAACAAAGAAGAAGACGAGCCACATCGAGACACAATTGACCGTCGATGACATCAGATCCAGACTACGCCACCGGGTCAAGGAGCCTTCGGAGCAAGTGCAAGTGAGTACGTCAAGTGAGTTAAAGAATTGTGCCGCTCAAATGCCCGACTTTCCTTGTGACGACGCGACTAGTGAACTCGATAAATTAAGAATACAATCAGTGCAAGTGAGTGTACCCTGTGATTTAAAAAATTGGGTAATGCAAACGTCCGGCTCTCTTTGTGACAACAAGGCTAGTGCGAGTGATAAAATAAGCGTGCCTCAAGTGACGGTGAATTTGTTCTCCGTGTTGCCAGCCCTCAATGCAGTCGCTGTTTCTGCTGTCGTCGCTCCGCCGCCACGCATGCAGACGCCGAACAAATGTCGAGACGCCATCCTGGAGGAATACCTAGTGGAAGCTTCAGTCGACAACCCCGCAAAACAGCTGGAACCAGAGAGCCTGGAACTACGCGCAGCTCAGCAGCGGGCCCTGATGCGCCCTGCAGAGCCACTCGAGGACATCTTTCTGCCCGGCCTTCCAATCTCTGATGCGACTTACCAAGCTTGGCTGCAGCGTGCTGGTGATTTTCGTTTTTGAAATATCCTTTTGTACCCATTAATCAATCTTTTGTTTAATTTAATTTAGCACTTCAATTTACTATATTCCATTTAATATTATTTAATTTTGTGACGTTGTGCCACTGCAAACGTCGTCGCGTCGGCTGCGAGAATCGGATGATTAATAATGTTGGCGACGCCGATAATAATTGCGTGGTATCTTTGCAGGTACGCGCGAATGAAGGAGCGAAGGTAGAGCCCGGCTCGCTCACCGCAGTGGCGCGCGATCGTAAACATTGCCGTGTTTACGTTCGCTTGGCCCGCGCAGCGAAGCCGGAGCTGCTACAGACACGAGACATAGACAAGACGACACGAAGATCCTCGCGACCCGTGCGTGCCAATTAGCAGACGATCGCGACACTTGAGTTTCGGCCGTTGAGCAGTGTACAGCTGAGTGTATGCGAGTCATTGTTAAGCTTTCCTCGGAGTAGTTTTGTCGGAGTATTTTTGTAGTTGAGCGTGTGTGAGGAGTGTGTAGTGAGTGATTGTTGAGTGCAGGTTGGTCTTGGTGCGTGTTGGTGAGAGCGAGAAGTTGGTGGCCACGTGCTCGAGCGTGTGTGCTGGCGAGACGTGCGGTGCACCATATCGACATCAGCGCGACGTAGTTCGACCTTCCGGCCCGTCCCTGTTCGCGTCTGTGGCCAACAGACGGCCACGAGGAAAAACAGCAGCAACTCTTAGGACCCCGGCGACGCGGAGTTTACCCGTGCGGTCGCGAGCCTCGAGAGCGAGGAATACTGTGAGTAGCCATTGGTATTACCGCGCTTCGCATAGACCCTCCGAACGGCAACGCAGCTCGCGTCCGCGACCCGGTGCGAATGAGTGTGAGAGCTTCGGCCTGCGTGAATGAGTATTTCGAATATTTCAATAAAATAGAATCTTTGTGTTTATCGAAATTCACTGTTTTATTATTTCAAGACCCGTCGTTTTCCTTTCCTCTCTCTCTCTCGCGAATTTTCTCGTTTACAGGTGTTTTTCTAGGTGCAGTGTTGCAGTTGCAGGAGTCCCCGCTCCATACCCGTCGACGTCCCCTCCAGGAGGAGAGTCGTATCCACGACCTCGAGGTAGTATCTCGTATGGGATTGGCCAGACTCCGGCTGGCTCCGTAGATGGCTTCAGAGAGGGCGACGTCCCATACGTCGTCGCCAACGAGGTCGTGTACCGGTAGACCGCGAGAGTCGTTGAGGAAAGGAGGTGAGAAAGGAGTCGAAATAAATTCGAACCGGGCAACAAATACTGTTTGAAATGCCAAGGCAATATTTATTGCGGACTTAATGTGAGCGGTAAAATACAATGGAGCGCGGACTGTAGCGAGCGGCTCGAGTGCGGTGAGTGTCGCTGCGCTGCTGAGAGTCGAGTGACGAGTGAGCGAGCGAGCCGCGCTGCTGCCGGCCCCACTCGGCCGACACCAGCGCGACACGCAGCGCCGTGAACGGTAGGCAGCGGGAGGGGGTGAGCAGGCGAGCCGACGCCACAATACTCCCCCCTCAATAACAAAAAATTTTAAATCTCCTGTACATTCTTTAAATAAAGAGAAAATTCGCAATTACACTCAAAATAAATTTTTACATCGGTACACTCGAAACTGAGTTTTTACAAAATGTAATATTAATAGCTCATTTGGCACATAGTTTCTATTATAACATACATGAGTAGGTATTACATATTATTATTCTCTTTAGATTGTAACCGTTCGCCCTCGGGATGCAAGCGAATGATCCGGCGAAATCTTGCGGTGCTGTAAACGGAATAAAACGGGATGTCGAAATAACTTACTCGATCATGTAAAAGGCAACAATATAACAAGGCTTAATTTATTATTGGAAAAGGCGCCAGTCACGAGTGTGACGCCTGATTATATATATTACATTCAATAAATCGACGATTAGTTATTGGGCTTCAACACGCAATTGACATATAAGTTTACTCCGGTACAATGTACACACGCGATTAGGCCACCTCGGCTAGAGCGGCAGACACGGCGGTCGTGAGTTTGGGCTACGTGGGGACGATGTCGAGAGAGATCGAGCGTAACGAATAAAGATATGTATGGCGCATTACGCGAGAGAGACATAGGCGACTTACATTCGTTGACGATGTTAGTTGGTGGATGATTCAGGCCGAATGTGACTGCGAAGAAGCTAGGGCCGACGAGAGGAGAGCCAGGTCACACAGTTCCTCCAGGAGTAGCTCGTACGGACACACACTCGCACTTGACTCAGAACTAGGCTATAATATACGCGTCGCTACGCACGGACCAGCACAGAGTGATCCCGCTGTCTCTCACACGTAGTGTTGTAGCATGACCAGACATGAAAAAAATGTCGGTAAAATGTCCGTCATATGTCCGTTAAATGTCGCTACTAAATATGTCCAAATTTGTGACGATGTATAGTTCCGTTCCGTCTCGTTCGAATCTCGATTCGAACTAGAGTTTTGTTATCGTCTGCACCTGACTGACCTACAGCCGTTACAATCGCGCGTTGCTGATGTGAGTTTCGACTGTTTTTGTAGTTTGCTTGAAGTTCGACTGACGATCGGTGTTAGTTAGTACACAGTCGCCGTAATCGTGCCATTTTTAAGCAAGTTTAATCATAGTTTAGTTGTGTGTTCTTATTATTACAAATACATTGTTACCTTATATTTTTACATCAATTTACGCATAACATTGTCAATTAAAGGTAGATTATAATATTTACGCTATCAACTGAACATTTGCGAAAAGTAATAATAAAACAAGGTACCTCATTTCGTTCTGCAGTTTTACCGATATGGTGAAAATGAAGAATTATGTTGGTAAACATTTTAAATTGATACAGCGTCCAGCTAATCAGAAATTAGATTCTTACCAGTGTAATTACTGCCCAAAAATCTATGTGCAACATACTACGCGTATGGCTGATCATTTGCTGGAATGTCAAGGCTGCCCTAGTACTGTAAAAAATACTGTACAAAATCATTCAAAAACAGCAAAGAAAAGGAAACTAAACGAAGAGGAAAATAATGCTCAGCTTGATGAAGACATCGACGATGATGAAGTTCACTGCGCTTCGTCCCACGATAACAACAAACAAACAAAAGATGGTCGTCGAAATTTAAAATCTTTCTTGGACAAAATATCGAAGTATGAACAAGAGTCTTGTGAAGAATTATTGGCGAAAGCAATTATAACTGGTGGTATGATCAAATTGACTATTTTAATATAACTATTTTAAACACTTAAGATTTATATCAACTATATTTTTTGTTCTAGGTGTGTCATTTAGATTTTTGGAAAATGAATATTTTTTGGAATTTTTAAATAAGCTGAGACCTACTTTCAAGCCACCGAAACGCGCCGAACTATCGGATACATTATTGGAAAAAATTTATCAAGAAGTAAAAGGAAAAGTTAAAGCTAAAATTGATGCAGCAACTACATTGACTGTGCAGAGTGACTCTTACACAAATATCAACAAAGAGGGCATAATAAATTTTGTTGTAAATACTCCAGAGCCAGTGTTTTACAAAAGCGTAGAAACTAAAGCAGAGTCACAAACTGCGCAACATTTAACCGATCAAATTTGCAGCGTCGTTGAAGAGATAAATCCGAATAAAACCATAGCTGTAGTAACAGATAATGCAGCTTATTGCAGGAAAGCGTGGGAATTGGTAGAGCAACGTTATGCACACAATCCAATCTTTGGCTATGGATGCGCTGCTCATGGGTTTAACCTGCTTTGCCACGATATATTAAATGAAGTTTCCGCTAAAGATATAATGCGAGATAGTGTAAAAATCGTAAAGGCGATCAAGCAATCTAATATCTTGACCGCTGCATTGAAAAATGTACGAGAATTGGATGAAAACGAGCGAGTTTTGTCATTGAAATTGCCCGTTAAAACACGGTGGGGATCATCTCTCGATTGCTTGACTAGTCTCAACGTCAACCGCTCTTGTTTACAAAAACTCAGCATTTCAACTCATGCCCCTAGACTTCCTCGAGATGTCAAAAATTTAATTTTAGATTCTGATGATAACTATTGGTGGAAGGTTCGTAGTTTGATCAGTTTATTGCAGCCAGTTGTTGTGTACTTAAAAAAAATAGAAGGGAACGAATCGTGTATACACAACGTGTGCGATTTTTTTAATGAGTTGAAGCAGTCAATAAATCAGGTGTTATTATACACCACGCCATCAATCATGAATTTTGATGAAGCCCAAAGTGTGCTTAAAAATCTAGATGAAAGAGTCAAATTTATTTTAAATCCCGCACATTACGCAGCTAGTATTTTGAATCCAGCTTCAAAAGGGAAAACATTGTCCGCAGAAAACTACACTAAGGGGTATGAATTAATTGTGAAAACTGCGAACAAATTCGATGGCATCGATAAAAATAAACTACTAATACAATTGGCTCAATACACAACTGAATCAGATTTCTGGGCAACTGAACATGTGCAAAAATCGGTGGCTTTAGTTTCAGCAGTTGACTGGTGGAAAGGGCCTTGTTCTTGCACAGTAGTGAGTAGAGTGGCTGTTGCCATTTTAAATTTGCCATGCTCGTCAGCTGCAACTGAGCGCACTTTTAGCGCTTATGGCTGGATCCACAACGCTAAGAGAAATCGTTTTACAGCTGCTCGAGCGAGCAAAGTGACATACATCGCTCACAACTTGAAATTATTGAATCCAAAAAAGAAAAAAGATATATGCGAGTTGGAGTCTGAAGAAGAAGACGATGAAGAAATTGAAATCGACGATTATGTGATGGACGAAAATGACCAATCGGTTAGAAATTTATCGTCGGTACTGCAAAATGAAGATTATGTGCAAGAAGGAGAATATATTATTGATGAAGATGGATCTCTTGTACCAAAAAAAAACTAATTTTTAAACTTTTTATTTAAATTTTTTAATAGTTTATGTCTAATAGTTTAGTAGTTATGTCTAATAGTTTATGTCTACTAGTTTATGTTTAATATTATAAATGAATAATAAAATTAAATATTCAACACATTTTTTAACTCATACGTGTACATTTGATTTTATGACCACAAATGTGCCCAAAAATATTTTGTCCGACATTTTTCCACTATATAGTGTTTGGCGGGTCTTGAACTTTTATTCTCTGACGAAAATTAATATGCTCGACATTTTGACTATAAATATTTCTCGTTCGTCACATGTCCGACATATTTCCGTCACGTTTGAAGACATATGCTTAATTTCAAAATGTCCGGTCATTCTACAACTCTACTCACACGTAGACCCGTCAGTCAGATCAGGCCTCCCCCCTATGACAGCCTTTCGTCTGCTCTCTCATTAGGCGCGCGAATCTTACGCACAGGTCGCACGTCTCTCGCTACAAATTCGGCGCGTTGTGAACGGCGCCGATCCAAGGTACATCAAGCTCACGATAATCATACGGCTCTCTCGACACGGGTCAGGATTAGGACACAAGGAAGGAATACCGCCGGACTCTGTACTGGCGTCCACTTCCTTACAAGATACATAAGTAACTTTGGCGTATAAAAATATTTGGTATGTTATTCATTTCACATATGTAATTTAGGTATAAAATATTGTTTTTAAGTACATAAATAAATTGAATATGTTATAATGCGTTGAAACGCTAATCGCAAATTACATGGTTTTGCATAACAAAGAAAAAGAATATGATTCACCAATAGTGTTACACACTTTGCTCTCTTGAAAAAAGAAGGTAACTATATCTATTTTGACTAAATTGGCATCGCTGGCCTTGATTAGACTTACATTTCTGAGATTCGCAAAAAGGAATTCACGCTCATATGCGCGTAGCAACAATGATTAAAAAAAAGATTGATGGCTGCGAGACCCGAGGCACTTAGCCTAATAATACAAAGTAATTAAATATTTACGTAAAAAAAATATAATAAGAATGTGCAATGGCACTGTTTACCTATCTACCATTTCTTAACGAAAAACATCACATCGCTGCCAGAAACCTTCGTTATAATGCCCTTTTCTCTCCTTGCCGTGTACAGCCAAGGGGGGCAAACTCTCTCAAGTTTATAATTTTTAATAATAAGGTTGATGCCCGCGCCAACGGCATCTAAAAGACCTTTAAGGTCGAGGGCTCTATTATCCGTATTCGTGTCGTTGAACACCACCAAGGACTTCAGCTGTGGCAAGCACAAGCGCGCGGCCAAATTACTCGCGTCTCTGTCCCAGCTAACGACCAGGTTACGCAGCTTGGGGAGAACTGAAAAATCAACCGAGTCGAGGATTTTAATGTTTATCAGTTTCAATTCAATCAAATTGGGCACGCAAAGCAAAATTTCTTGAAGGTGCGGTTCAACGAACGGAGAATTGGAAAAATCTAAAAACCGGATTTTGGGGCATATGTTCAACGACAGAGATAATGACACGTCAGGCTCGAGAAGGCGTCTGGGCTTGGAAGAAGTGAACGTAACAGCTACTAAAACATTCTCACCGGAGAACAAAGAGCTAAGCAGGCTACCGAGCTGCGCGTCCACGTCAAAAGCCATGACATTATGTAGCTGCAAATATTTAACAGAAATGTTCTTACGAACAGCGCGAGCTAGTGCTGCAAAACTTAGCTGTCAGCAGAAGGACAGCTTTACGATCTCGGCAGAGAACTCGGATAAGAAAGCGCCTGTTACGTGAAAATTGTCACTAATCTCAAGCCGAAGGCTCAGCTGCATCCAGGATTTCGCATCGCCGATAACGCATCTTTAACAATGCCGCTGTTTAACACGCAATCACCGTCCTTAAAAACTATCGATTTGGGTTTGAACTCATTAATGTGGCTCTTAATGTAACTCGAGATATCGTTAAAATTAAAATAAGGCCATGAAGGATCGAAGTAATTGATGCACAAAAATGTGACGGCGACAGGATGGTTAAAAAGGGCGAAGGTGAACCTGTAAGCGTCGTCGGCGTTGAGTTGGCGATATATGCATGCGAGCACTGGGGTAAAAACAATGAAAAGGTGTGAGTCGAGCGAGTTGCTGATTAACCGGTTTGGCCGCTTATCGGTGGGTTCGATTTGAAAATAACACCTGTCGGGCTTGATTTGGGCATAACAAGGCTGATACTTGCCCTTATTTGTACTAAAAAAACCAACATCAAGCAGCGCCGACAGCCCAGCGTCCTGCAATCTTAGCGAAGTGATGGGATTTTTACAATTAATATGGCACCACGTACAATTAATTTTTCCAGGTGGGTGCTTCGGCCGGGTAATCTTAAAATCTGGTGGAGCAGCGATAGGTTCGAGAAGACGGTATATTGCATCCTGCTTCATCCTCTAACAGTCTCCGAAAAAATACAATCTCAGAATTGGCCTATCTCCAATTACGAGGCGAGGGAGGTCCAGTAACGGCTCGTACTCTGCCGAGTCCGCACGCGTGCGACCAGTGCGCGCCGGCCTCAGTCTATGCTGTATGTCGTCTCTATACCTAAGAGGTTTCAATCTTCCTGATCTCGTCCATGACGCCATCCGCAAGTTCGACGAGATACGGGTACCGCTCGAGGGCGGTCGCAGTCTCGTTCCGCAGCGCATCGAAGGCTCCAACTAGCTTTCTGAAAAAGAATCATGCAAACCTGTGTGAGATGACATCTTAATGTGTTTGGTTCTTTTTGTATTTTGAGATGAAGCTTTTCTTTTGTTTGGTCGTCGCGATGCGTTCGAGTAAGTATGCTCAGAAGAGAGGGGGGGTTGATCAGGAGGCAAGAAGGCAAAGGAGCGTCAGCAGCAGCACCCACAGTAACCGAGTGGCCAAGGCCAAGCTCGTCCTGCATATCCTGTGTCATATCAGGGAAGTCGGACAGTGAAAGACTGTCTTCGTCGGGGACGGCGTTGTCTTGAGAATTGCCAGCATGAGCCAAGTCATCCGGAGGAACCGTGGCGGTTGCAGAGGACGCGGACGGCTGAGGACTCACTAAAGGGGCGAGCGGTGGTGGGGGAGCCATCGAGGAGGGCTGTAAAGGGGCCATCCCCGAGGCCGAGGTTAGCGAAATACCAACCGGGGTGCAGACGGCGGACGATCGCTCGGGGCAGCTGCCTGGCGAGCAAGTGCTTGATCGAGAAAATGCGCTGGTTTGAGTTGATCTACTGAAACCCGTATGACCTTATTGTCAACGCGAATTTCCATGTGCTTCTTCGATGGATCACGCGAAATTACTTGATGAGGGCCCGTGTAAGGCCTCTGCAGAGACTGCTTATGGGATTTAACCACCCTGAATACATGTGTACACGTATCCAAATCGGTGTAATAAAAGGGTCTTGTACTAGTTTTATGCCTCACCGGCAACGGCTTGACATCCATCATATAACGTAAAAAGGTTTATCTAAAAGATCGCGAATCAAAATCATCGTCATCATACTCGCAAAAAATACCCGGGATACGTAACGCTTTGCCGTAAAGCATCTCTGCAGGGCTCAGGTCAGTGTCTAAAATCGGACGGGTCCTCAGACCGAGCAGCACTGACGGCAACGAATCGAGCCAATCTCCCGTCTCACCTCTACACATAAATGCCGCTTTAATGTCCCTATGAAACCTTTCGATCATCCCATTTGCCTGGGGATGATACGGGGTAGTATGAATTTTCTCGATACCGAGTGCCCGAGAAACCTCCTCAAAAAGCCGGGACTCGAACTGAGTTCCCTGGTCAGTAGTAAGCACAGAAGGAGAACCGAAACGCGACACCCAATGTTTAACAAAAGCCCGCGCCACGGTCTCGGCGTGAATATCCTGTAAAGGGACAGCTTCCGGCCATCTCGAAAATCTGTCAATCATAGTGAGTAGGTACGAAAAACCGCGACACTCCGGGAGGGGGCCGACGAGATCAATATGCACGTGCTGGAACCGCGCATCCGGCGCCTCAAAATGCATAGGTGCAGGCCTATTATACCTCGTTACCTTACTCTGCTGACACGGCAAACAAGCTTTACAGTACAAAGATATGTCGCGTGACATCGAGGGCCAAATGTAGAATTTTCTAATCAATTTGTTTGTAATCTTTGAGCTCGGGTGAGCCAAACTGTGAAAAATTTCAAAAACCTTAAAACGTAAAGGGCCCGGAACGTATGGTCGAATTCGGTCAGAGGAAACCTCGGCGAAAATCTGTTGATTAGAAGGACGCCAAACAACCTTAACTAATTTGAGTGGGGGAGACGGGTGCTTAATAAGTCCTCTGAGTTCGTCGTCATTTGCCTGAGCCGTGGTCAGCTCATCCAAAGGGAGCTTTAAAGGGAGAGTGAGAGCGTCAATGCACGATGCAAGCGCAGCGAGCCCCGGCCCAGGAGGCGAGGCCGAGTCTGCCTCGTCAAGACGCGACAGAGCATCCGCCACCGCGTTCTCGGGACCGGGAAGGTACTCGAGCGTCACGTCGAACATGGACAGGTATTCAACTTGTCTTCTTCTTCGGGCCAACGCGGCGTCCAAGGGTTGAGAAAGAATTGACAGCAAGGGTCGGTGATCAGTACAGACGGTAAAAGAAACACCCTCGAGATAATGGACAAAATGCTTGATTGCACCGACTATCGCAGTCAACTCTCTGTCAAAGGTGGAATAATTGGTTTGAGCGTGGTCGAATTTGCGAGAAAAGAACGCCAGGGGTCTCCATTTATCGTCGGTACGCTGTTCGAGAACTGCGCCCATAGCTATATCTGACGCGTCCGTGCAAACGCGCAAAGGTGCACCATCTTGTGGAAAGGCGAGGTAGGCAACAGACGCCAAACCCTCCTTAAGACGCTCAAAAGAATCAATAGCCTGGGGATTCCACGCCACCGGAGTCTTATCGCGCTTCTTCTGCGAAGTCAAAAGCTTATTAAGTTCGATCTGCAGCTGCACGCTTCCCGGCATGCAATGATGGTAAAAGTT